CACCGACGAGTTTTCCATCATCACCACTCAAATACTAAAGTGACCCTTGAAATTTATTATGAAAGATTCGTTACTAATATTCTGCATAACTAAAAATACCAAACGGAATGTTCTACTACGGATCATTCATCACAATACGAAACAAAAACCAAGTCGTGTTCCCCGCAGAAAATATTTGAAAAACAAAAGCTGATCATGTTTCCCTCTTCACGACGACACATAATATTAGCATAGTAATTATTTCATATTTTCACCTAAATTTGGCTTCAATTCTCTAGGAAGTTCGAATAAGATGCTTTCCTCTCCCAATTCTACCAGAAAATTCAACCATCCACACAATTAAATTAGTGGAAACCCTTCATTCCACTTTCTATCCATTTTATTTCACTTATGTTGTTCACGAGGTAACGAAATGGCAGTATTCCTCTTTTCGTGGACACGGAACTACTCTAATCACAACTACAATTTGGGATCAAACGCAACGGTGAATACTCTTCCATTCCAAAAGATTTTAATACGGACATTAGCTAATCACCCTGGAGACCAAATGGTCCAAATAATCATGCAGATCATATCCCTCTAAACACCGATATGCAGAGCACCCTCTCACCCACCATTCACCTATACAATTCGTAACATTGGCAATAAATGAAACCAACACTTATGTTTTAATAAATGAAAATGTACAGATTGCCATTGAATCGTTGAACACATTATCCCATGATTTGCAAGGTATGCAGGAAGAGGTCTTTACTAGATAGAAATTAAACACAATACTCAGCTCCACCAGTTACCACCATGACTAAATACCAGTTCCGCTAACAAGTGTGGACATGATTCTGTTGTTAGTTAGTTAGTTAGTTACTTAATTAGACTCTGTTTGTGCACTTCTGGTCACTTCAGACACAATCCCACAGCAGCAACCATAGATCAATAAAGACACCTGTTGCTACCTTTATTGAAATGTTTCACTTAAACGCTCAACTGCTTCCATCACAAACTAATGACGACGTTAAGCAGGCCGCCCAATCTCAAACCAATTCGCAAAATCAAGAATTTCTTTCAAGTATACAATTATTTAGCAAATTCCAAGATTATGTACATAACAAATAACTCATTCTTCCAAAGATCCAACATCTCACTTCATTGTGCTTTTCCTGAAATCAATACATACCAGAATGAGAGCGATTCGAAGGTGTTAAATCAGTTTAAAGCAAGAAAAACATCTTCATTCATTCACTCACGAAACCGAACCCTTTCCACTAAGCACCACATAGGGAGTTGCCTGTTGCTCCAACTTCTTATTCAACTTGTTGAGTGTTCCCAATGGAGTATCGGAGCCAGCACTGTTCTTGATAAGCTACAATAAAAACAGATTTAACACCATGTTACTAATGCACAATAAGTAGCTCCGAATTTCACGCCGGGATGCATAGATTGCTCAGCTTACCGCTTCTTCAATAAACTTCTTATTGCGCTTTTCTGTCTTCTTCTTCCCTGACCCCTTTCCGTGAAACTTGTGACTCAGCTGTCGGAACGCCTCCTTTGGTGTCAGGTTGTGGCCCATCTCGTCGACATAGTACAACTTCACATCAGGTTTGTAGGAGGTTTTCTCACGGAAGTCAGAGAGTGGACCAGTGTGGCGCTCACGTTTGGCAAATTTCGCGTCAATGTCATCATAACGCATGTCCTCCTTCACGTAGTGCTTTGCCATCAGATTCACAAGCTGACCCATTGGACGCTAAAACCAAGTAAACACTCCACTTAAAATGCCCCCTTTCCCTCCCAAGGTCCCTCCACGAGATTAACCTACCTCCTTCTCCTTCTGTTCTTCAACGTAGCCCTTCTTCTGAGCAAGAAGGAGAGCTGAAAAAACACCCTGGTTTAACGTTGGCTCCTCTTCAAACACACCATTTCCACTCGCCTCAGCAGTTGGAGCATAAGATCCACTAACACTCGGCTCTTCGGTCACTCTGGAGTTTGAACGCCCACTTGAAAATTTGTTGATGGAAGATTTGTCATCGTGACGACGACGCGAAGAGGACGAGGAATGCTCTGGAAAGTTAAAATAAGCTAACTGTAGTGCCTGTAAACTCACACAAGACCCAAACCACAGATAGCAGCTAACAGCAAACACATGGAAATGCATCGGTAAGGCAGTAGTCAAATTCAAAGGGATACTACACAATACAATCGAACATCTATGTTGACGTAGAAATTTGCACGCTCCTCTTTCCTTCTCTTTATCCATGAACATCACGAACACACACACACACAAATCACGTCTCACTCATTCATCCCTTAATGAACTTCTAAAATTTCGCGATTTTATGAAGCACTCTACTAATATCTGTCAGACAACTACCTCAAACTGGAACGTCAAGTTTCTCAAGAACGAGATTTCATTCATTTCACCTATCTACACCTCCAATCCACTACACACTTTGCTTTATGCAAATTAAATTAACTTTGACCCACCGCCTCCTCAGTAACGCCAAATCGAATACACCAGACAGACATGAAGTAGACACTTACTCGTAGAATACCGACTGCTTACGCTGTCACGATGTTTGGCTCTCCTATCAGAGGACCGATCAACATCATCTTCCTTCTCCCTCCTGTTCAGGGAAGGTATTTCTTCTCCACCATCCACCTCTTCCTCAGCCTCTTGTTTCACCATCTTCGCGGTAACATCGTTCTGTAGGCCACTCGAGATCTGCTTGAAGAATTCCGCCGTGGCGTCAAATACAAGACCACCACCACCACCGCCTCCTGCCTCACTCACTCTTGCCTCCACCATTTCTGTGTCGGGGTCTTCTTTCACAATCAGCTTCAGTCTCTACAATGAATAAACATCTTTAGCACAAATAAGGACTACGATTTCACTCATCTGAGAATCCCAATTGCCACTGAATCCACGTTCACATTCAGAGTGGAGGACCCTCAGTAAAGGTCCGTGTGGTCACCAGAGATGAAATGTTGGCGAACTTAGGCAAAACTAAATGTGTGTGTGCGAACAATGACGAAATTATTCATCCAAGTGGCTAACTGAGTTGGACCTTCCAAGGATATTCTACTCTAGCTAACGATTTTGAAGGTGACAACGTATATTTCACTTTTTAAATAGCACTACTTGTTTATAAGTCCACGAGTTACCTCTTCAGGTACTGGAACGGGTTTGGCCAGATTGGAATTACGAACGCGACTGAGAGTCCTCTCCAACTCCAATTGAAGATCATCGGGTTCCAATGGTTCAGCAATCAGGTCGGCATAAGCTACAAGAAGTAAAAATAATTAGGTAACGCAGTAGCACAGATGTTCCACCACCCATCAAACCGCCGTACGCTATTGAAAACTCAACCACCCAGCCCCCCACCACTACATCAACCCACGTTGACGAGATTTCATCATTCAACCTAAACAGATAATTTGCTCATTTACGACTATTCAATCGACCAATGAACACTTTACAAGAAAAATACACAAAAATAAGACAAATCTAACCATCCTCATCGTCTCCCTCGTCATCCTCCTGCGGAACAGTTTGCACAGCCAGAATGGCTGCAATTGCAGGATTCAGACCAGTAAGAGCTGAGAGATCCGAGTGTGGCTTGACATCCTCATCCGACGACTTCTTGTCAATAACTTCACCCTCTTCCTCCACTGCCACTGCTCTTGCCGCCCCAATCCCAGCGCCATGTCGATCACTGGAACGAGATCCATGGTCCAGTACGCCAGCGGTGGTGGATGGTGCGCCCGCATCTGGAATAAGATCGTCAGGACGGAGAATACGACGATGCACCTTTCGCTTCTTCTTTTTCTTGAATTGGCCCATCTCCTCCGATGTATAGAACTCGGCTGCTGGACGATACTCCGTATCACCGAGTGCTTGCTACAACAACGTGAAACATATACTACCCAAGGCTGACTCTACAAGAAACTCAACTTCAATGTCTCCTCATTGCATGATCCTAAATTGTCTCATCATATCAGACAATGCATTACCACCTCCTACTAAATTAACAGGCCCGAGAATTAACATAACGATAATACCAATCGGCATTACTATTCGCAGGATGCAACAATTCACATCCTACCTAATCCTCGATATACAATTCTAAACTTGACCTAACTCGTCCCCAATGAGATGTGCAAAATAAGCTCATATTAGACACTGATCAACCATCATTACCTAACCAACTGCACGAATTCGCTAGACCATCAATCCCTGTTTTTCCAACTATTCTTCTAACACTAAATACACAGCATTCATCTTCACCCAATCACATCCTCATCACACATATGAGTATGGTTGGGTCGCTATAATCAACACAATTACGCGAAAATGGTCAACTTGTAATATCGCTATCTATGGATTCCGTCATTTTGAGATTTGTTAAGGCGCAACCTACTAATTACTGCGGCTACAGTCTTCAATATTCTTCAAATGCATCGCCTTTCCATCACAAATTACTTCCCAGCACCACATGAATACGCGCTACAATGACGAACTTTGACTTAATATGAACAATAGCAGTAGAGCAACGATGCCCATCGAGAAGATAATCCACACACATGCCACCTAGATCAATTATCACACAGGTACTTCACTCACACTTTCGAAATGAAGTCCTATGGCCAATACACTCAATTCGCTATATTCATTCAGCAATGCTCATTACAGCTGCACTTCCTTTACAACTACTGAACAATTTCGAATTGTACCATCAACCAAAAGTAACCATGAAATGAAAATCACATGTTAGTAATTCAATGCTTACTCGATTTCGTTGAAGTTCCTCCTGCAGTTGTTTCAAAGCCCTCTCATGATCCGTTACATAACTTCCGTTAGCTTCGAGTGTGAATTCGGCCTTGCGTGGACCATCGATCTCAGCGTCGTATTTCTCCAAAATGCCCTTTTCTCTCAGACCCATCAACACATCCTCCTCATCATCTTGAAGAATTCCGCCCAGACCAGCTAACTTTCGCTTATTCTCCCGATTCTTCTCTGCCTTCTCCTCATCCACCAGGTTCACGTTAGTCAGCACGTCGGTTGGGTCCTCGGCTAACACATCTGCAAACAACAGAACTATCGTCAACACCACTTTTGCCAATATCTCCTCTCGTAATTGGTGAAGGTAATTCGAGTGGAATCTATTCTTAATAAGAGACAAATATTCCAAAGAAAACTCACGGCCTCATAACTCAAAGTCTAGAACACACAAATGCACCCCGACTGCTAATTTAAGCTCCATTGCACGCAGTTTTCTTCATTCTATGGAGTTTCACTTCGAACAATAAAATAACCCCTCCATTAACCAATGAAACTGTACCTATGTCCTAACACTATGAACGAAAGAAATCCACGACATTTATTCCTGTAAAGGATACTGCACAACACTGCCGGGTAAGGAACCACAATGCAGTTATCAGCACTCTAATACCCACACCACCGAGTAACATAATTGGCAAGAGCTCATGACTACCTATACAATAATGATTTAATTCTCAATCTCCTCATATATAGACTTTGAAGAATGAACAGAAACCTCCAAACAAAGCATGCGAAAACGCAGAGTTGAACAACCATGGCCAAAATTAAACGGAAAAACTTTCAAGTAAATTTGTAGGAGAAGGAATTAATACTACATTCCCTATTGCATTCCAAACAGAAAAAACATGCGCACACTCTAAACTCCACAACTGAAAATGCAAGGTCTTGTAAAGAATGAAACAAAATCATCTTCGAACAATTAAAACTGCTTAAAGTTGGGCGCACGAGAAAACCCAACTGGGTAAAAAACATATTTTTCTACAAATTAGTCTAAATCACAAGTGGAAGGTGGAAGGGGCATGGTCTGGTTTAAACAACAAAAACAATTCATATTTAAACACCAGAACTCAAAACTACGATCACACAAACAAAATTGACTGATTGAAAAGATCCAAGTTAACGATATAAAGAGAAAAAATACGTACCACTATCTTTGAGGGTGAGGATGATTGGAGTGCCCTCCGAAAATCTATCAATACTATGTTCAACTTTCAGACCTTGTAGAGCATCCGATGTGTAGGCTTCTCGGGGTTTCCTCGGTTTCAGCTGTTCCTCCACAACAGTTGATACTCCAAATTCTTCATCGAGCTCTGCCAACATTTTCTCCTGAACTGCAATTAACAAGCATAATAACAAGCAAACCCTCTTCTCCGCCTCCTTCTTAGCCTGCTCCTTAGCTCGCATTTTCTCCACCCACGAAGAAACACTTGTCTCCTCACCCGATCCGAGTGATTTCACTTCACGCAGCTTGTTGAGCAACTCACGCTTTTCTTTCGCAGTAGCAATCTTCTCCTGAATCTTCTCTGCCTGCTTCGCCTTAGTCAAATCCTTGGCTGGTGCGTGAACAAAATCCGAATCACTGTTCTTTGGTCTCTCGTCATCACCACCATCGGTCTTGGACTCGTTTCCCACTTCAAGAGGTGCAAGGCCCAATTTCGCTCGAAGTTTACTAAAATGTCATAAATTACCACAATAAAGTACTTGCTTTGTTTCTTCAATGGATAGGGACTCAGCTGCTCCTTGGTCTCTCACTTCCTCTACATTATCGTTAATGCTATAATTGGCAAACATACCCTCCTCTTCTACAACCCTTCGCTTTTTATCCCTAGATTTTCTCGATTCCTTGTGTGGTGACTTGTCCTTGGACCGACTCCTCGGTCGTTTTCTATGCTTCTTGCTTTCATCATCACGTTTTTCCCTACGATGCATTGCAATTGCAGGCAAGAACACTACTGTCGGAAATTCAAAAGACGAGGCATTTGGTAACCATAATTTAACATTGACCGAACTTGATGGCACCAATTCGTGTTTTACTACTTTCTGGCTTTTAAAACTCCTAGTATTTGTTAGGAAATCTTTATTCCTAATAATTTGAGTCATCTTCTAGCTATTCTATTAACAAATAAAAAATAAGGTATTTCTTGAATTAAATGAAGAGTTTGGTTGCTTTCCTATTATAAGAGGTTTTGTCTTCCACATGAAAGATTTAATTACATATTATCACCGCTTTTTAAAAATCTTCTGAAACTACAGTCTTGATATGCTATTGTTTGTACAATCTTGAATTATTCACCTATTTTTTGAGTTGACACAATTTTGTACTTTTCGATGATTATTCTTTTTCATTATTTACACCTCTTAGCATAATTAATTATATTCAAACATATAGTCTTTAACTCCATGTTCATTTGGTGAAATACGTGATTTGGATTCAACCTAATTTCTTCTCTGTTTTCAAAATTAGAATCCTGATGGTGTGATTCTTTTACATATCAATCACGAAACATTCGGCCAAAATGCATCATCATGTTATACTTGCCATTGCTTTCCGTATCTTGCTTGTATTCATTAGGCAACAATGATTGAGGCCTTCACATTCAGCTCTTATTTTTGTAGTTTCTGCTAGTAACATAGTATTAATACTTGAGCAATATGGTTTTATTCAGCACATTTAAGTCCCTTTATTCGAATGTTCAGTTTTTTCTTCCTGCTCAAACTCATAAAATTTATTGCTTAACTACTTGTGTTTAACACGTCCCATCAATTATGGGTAGAGCTACTGTTAACACATAATTGGTAAATGTCTGCAAATGAAGACCTATGTGGTACAAAAAAATAATCCAAATATTTCCTATGTCAAGACATATTTGAAGCATATATTTGATGAAGTACACCCGACTACAATTTGTGGAGGATGATTGAGATTTACTTAAGCCACTCATTTCATTTCAATTTCTTCACTTTCCCAAAAATTATTTGTCCATATTGGTCATTTGATGGACTAGAATGAAAATTTAGTACATTCATAAAAATGATTGTCATCAGTATCCTCATGCACCCTAATCCAAGAGGTACATTTTCCCTCAACCTATTTTGAACAGAGAATTTCATTCTGAACTACTCCTGATGGAGGATAGCGCACTACCCACTCTTCAATCTATCCACGTGATCCACTTTCATCAGTTAATCAAACTAGGTTCCTCACTTTCTTGACCAATCCCATGTTAGCTTCTATTCGGCTCAACGACCAACTCTTCCTTCCTACTGTTTCCTAGTTCAGTTTCAGGCTTCTGACGACGAATCCAGACAAATCGCAAACGGAATCAAGTTATTTCGATTACGTTTAAAGGTGAATAATAACCAGAATTCACATGTATGAACTGAAATAGACTGTTGCTTTCTTGAAGCATAATTTTAGTTGCCCGTTGTTCTAATGTCGTCTTTCGGCACTCAATTGTAACTCAATAAATGAACTGGGGTGAGTTTCAAGCACATAAGCCTATTATCACATCTTTGGTTAACTAGACCCGAAGATTTGTCAATATGATCTATTTATTTCACTACCATGTCTCTTCCATTCTACAAAAATTGTGATTAAATAGACATCAATCCTCTTTCAACACTTATTGTTCTCAGTTCATAGACATTTTAATTGCTTGCTCAAATCTTGTAGCACACAGGAACAACTCAGTCATTAAAGCGATTCTAAGACATTTGTGACTTGTTTGAGGCCTTTGGATGACCGACATTGATGCGGAAAAGAGAGACTGTGAGAGGGAGAATGAGAATCACTTTTGGCCTAGATTCAATTCATAGCTGACACGCATTTATATCGCATCCTGTGTTGTGGAGATGACGCATAGGCGCGCAAATCCCACAAAGAACATTTGGCCACATCTGGACCAATTGGTTATAAGGACTAGTACGCCGTCATTTTGACGTCATTTCACGCATTGGCATTGAACAGCCTGAAAACTACGCTAACTAAACATGGGCTAGCAAATTATACTAGGGTTCTCCGAAAACGTTTAATCGAAAATTCCATTTGATGAGCCTTTCTAAATAAAATAGCTAGCCAACCGAATAAGCACCCATGGGTGATAATACAAAAGTGATATATTTCACCAAAGCAGAACACATTCGAATTGGGTTGACTTTCGGCGAACCCTGGTACTAACGCTAAAGTACCAGGCAGGCGTTTTGACAGTTATCATTAGCCTATCGCGCTGATAAGGACTTCCGCTTTATTAATGGCTTTATCAAGAACCTGAAGAATGCTGAGTTGAGTCACCTGGAGATTCCTTTACGCTGACTTGCACCAACTTTTCATCGCTACCAGTTAGGAGAGAATAAACTTCCAATATAGCAAATATATTACTGCGAAGTTCTGACAGCCTTTCACTTCCCAGTGTCCTCACAGCTAGTTCAACGGAAACAATAGTAGTGCTCGTTTTGTTATGCACAGCCTTGAGAGAACTCAACCGACGGAATTCTACTAACTTGAAGGCTTGAACTACCGTTTCCGGCCCATACCGATGCAGTTAAATGTGGAATATCACGTGCGATCATTTGCCTTCTCAACCGCAAGGAGAAAATTGTGAATTGAAGCATCAAAAGCACTCTTTCTGATTAAGTAGTACTGAGCGTCATAGACGAAGAGGTGTTGCAATCCAGTTGACGAATTGTGGAATTTGAAATTTGACAATACCAAGAACGTCTGAACTAAGTACTTAGAAGTCATGTCTGTACTCTCAATTAAAGAGAATTCGTCTTATCTTTTTGATTATCGTACTCACAATCCAAATTTGGAATCAAGGTCTCGTGAACCAGTGAGTGAACTTACCACAGTTTGGCATGTAGATTAACAGGAGCACCTACACAAGCAAATCTTTGTTCTCGCACATGAGGGGGAATGGAGCGCCAGGGTCCAAGTGCGATATGAATCACCTTGGAAGTGCGAGAGGGGAATCTTACGGGGAACAGTTCCATCACTCTAACTAACACTGCAGATGGTCGAATGACGTCACAATGAGAGTATGATTGGAGTCAACCCGTTTTGACTCGCACAGGGGCTATCCAGTGGAGAAACTTCGCATGACAAACTAGTGTCTCCCCTGTCACCAATGGAGGTCAAGAAGTGGGACATTTCTCAGACAAGACAACGGTGGTGGCCAAACGCTATAACCTGATTAGTTCAAGGCTGTTAATTGGTAGCATTAGATTCACCTGCAATGTCTTGGTTAAATGTGTCCCTTTAACTTAATTAACTCCAAAATTCAATGATGGAAATGGTTCCTTCACTTCACTTGGCCAGACGAAACCACTTTTAAATAGTCACTACTTACCAGATAGATGAAATTTGTTTGTCTAGGTTCTTACTTAAACTGTTTGTATGCATACTATATTACATCAAAAAGTAAGGCAAATTTAAGTGGATTCAAGGGATTCGAGTCGTTAGTTGATTGAAGGGAGAATTTGGGCCAAATTCGGGTGTGATCTAAGAATGATTGATGAGGCTTTTACGACACTGCTAATTCATGATCGATTTTCCAATGCAGGGTCCTCCAGACTAAGCTCACTTAAAGTCTTCTGTGCTTTAAGAAGGTTGGTGTCTTAGAGCAACAAAGAGCAGAGACAAATGAAATATGGACTTAATGGAAAATGGGCAGGATTTGGGAGTAAATAATCTCATAACCAGAGCTATTTTCCCTGTTCGGTTTTGAGTCTTTGACTTTCGTTTCCAAAAGAAGCTCAATTCCAGTTAAGAAGTTACGATTCGATTTAAAATTGCATTGTTCTTTAAACTACTTCTGCTACGAGTTCGCTGAGGTAATAAAATCTCATCAATGTGGTAATTACCATTCACAAGTTTGGGTTATCATCACATTTGGCCAACCCACACACCTGAAATTCGACGATTGAGTAACTCGCAACAAGAAAGCTTTAAACTAGCCAAATATTCACCCACTCGGATCACCATTCCCTTACAACCATAGTTTTCATTTTGTTCCTAATTTTATAGACCCAAACTCTTTCACATCTCAATTGGCATCACTTAGGTATATGGAGTCTGCAGCAATTTGTGCCTGCACAGGCGATTGACAACGGGAAAATAAATCCAGACACTTTTGGTCCGAGGTCTCAAACTCAGTTACTGTGTGACTGGTCAATTGCTTACCATTCGATGCTAGTGGAAAGGAAATTCGATTTTCTACAATACACAGAGAACTTTTTCAGAAATTTGAGTCTTTGTGAGGTAGTTTATGATGAAAAAATTGAGCTTTCATTCCAACAGTTTGATATGCACATCGGGATTATAACGACCTGAAGATTCCTCATAAGACCACTTAATAAAACATTTTCCAATACCCATCTTGACTCTGTTGTCATCCGAGCTTAATCCTACTGAGTCCCATTTAGTGAATTTGAAATGAGTACTCACTCTAGTATCATTGCAGCAATAGACACGTCATTAGAGGAAAGTTCTGCATCACTTGACTGATGGCTCAAATAAGAGAATATCGATTTTGAGTACACTCATGAAAAAACAATGAATCGCATCCATAATTGTACTAACTTGTGGGAAGAATCAATATTCAATCACGCAACTGACCCAGAAAATGCATCTTCGCAAGTAGGAAGGGTGAGCGAATTAGTCATAATATAAAAATAATACGTGCACGAATGGTTGTCCCAACTATTGATATTAGTCCAATGATCAATAAACCTTGAACATTTGCCTGCGAATTCACTCAAGAATCCTTTAGGATATCCAAATGACCCCATCCCCATGTCCAACTACTGAACTGAACTACTCTGCTGTCTGTTCTGACTATCTCCCGTGACGAAATAGACATTGACAGACACCACACGCCAAATAACCTGCCCCCAAGCATACGAACACAAATCCACCCACCGCAAGACTAAATCTCAAACCGCATAACACAATTCAAAGACCAATGTGATAAGATATTCGGCACACTTTTGATATTTTAAATAATAAAAAAGTTAGCAAAATAGGGGAGGGGGGGGGAGATGTAGGTTAAATAGAGGGATACAGATGGGGAGTTACAAATGCCGTAAAAAAAGGAAATAGAACACAGGTTGGGGGAGGGAGATCTGATGAACTGTTTTCACCTCAACCGGAACATGAAGTACAGGCTTCAGGGTTTCTGATAGAGCAAGAGATCGCCTCCATGTTCTTCTGGTACAGTTTCTCCACCCTAGTCTTGGCCTTCGCTTCCTCCTCAGTCAAATTCTCCTTATTTTCCAGAGAAACCTTGCCGAAGCCAGTGGCCAATATCATATTCACCTCTTTGTTGTCAATTGTGAATTTAATCGGGTCGGCTGCAGGACGGGTTCGGAGGTAGTACATTCCAGTCTTCAGTCCCTTCTTCCACGCATAGAAATGCATGGAAGTGATCTTACCATAGTTGGGTTCCTTCATGTGGAGATTCAACGACTGACTCTGATCTATGAAAGGAGCACGATCTGCAGCTAGATCAATAATCGTTTTCTGTGGAATCTCCCAGACAGTCTTGTACAACGCCTTAATATCGTCTGGAATGCCGTCGATGTGCTGAATAGAACCCTGATTGGCAATTATTGCCAATTTGAGGGCCTCAGACCAAATGCCCAAATCGATGAGGTCTCTCAACATGTGGCTATTGACAATCTGGAAATCTCCAGAAAGAACACGACGCGAAAATACATTACTCGTAATGGGTTCAGTTGACTCGGTGTTTCCCAGGATTTGAGCAGTTGATGCAGTGGGCATTAATGCCAAAAGAAGGCTGTTCCTCACACCATGCCTACAACGAAAGGATGCCTTCAGACCCTAGCCGGAGACACAGGGGAAACAACATCAAGCTCGAGAGAACTTACTTCTTAATGCGATCACGAAGCCCAGCCCAATCAAGTCCAGACACTTTCGAGAGTTCTTCAGTGTCAACTCCCCACATATCAGGCTGAAGAATTCCCTTGCTAACAGGACAACCTGGATACGATTCAAAAGGACCATCTCGTTCAGCCAACTCACAGGAGGCTTTCAGAGCAGCGAAGTAGATAGTCTCAAAGATACGCCTATTCAAAGCAGCAGCTTCAGCACTACCGAAGGGATAACGCATCAGAACGAAGGCATCACAAAGGCCCTGCACACCAATACCAATCGGACGGTGACGCATATTTGACCTGCGGGCCTGGAAAGCACAAAAGTAAAGTAATGCACAATTCTCAAACCTCTCAACCCCCTTCCTCATCTTCAAAAAAAATTGTTTCAGCTCTTACCTCCTCTACTGGATAAAAGCCTCTATCTATAATTCTGTTGAGATTTCTGGTGACGACACCTGTCACATACTCCAAACGATCAAAGTCGAAGGTTCTCGTCTTAGCATTGACAAAGTTGGGCAGTGAGATGGACGCCAAATTGCACACTGCAGTCTCCTCGGGAGAACTATATTCGATTATCTCAGTACAAAGGTTGGAGCACTTGACTGTACCCAGGTGTTGATGGTTGGACCTTCGATTACAGGCATCCTTGTAAACCATGAAGGGATTACCAGTCTCCATTTGGTTTTCAATGATGTGATGCCTGTGGAGAAGTGAATGATTAGACCGAGTACATATTGACTACCACTTCGCATGAAAGGCGAGTGTGGAAAATTACCAGACTTCCTGAGCCTTCATAGTCCTGCGACCACGACCCTCTTTCTCATACTTCGAATAGAGCGCTTCGAACTCCTCTCCCCAACAGTCTGCCAGACCGGGGCATTCGTGAGGATCCATGAAAGTCCACATCTCATCATCATGAACCCTCTGCATGAAAAGATCAGGAATCCAGAGAGCCAGGAAGAGATCTCTAGCACGAATCTCCTCGGCCCCAGTGTTTCTACGCAGCTCTATGAACTGCAAGACATCAGGATGCCAGGGTTCTAGATATATAGCAAAAGCACCGGGACGCTTATTCCCACCTTGGTCCACATACCTAGCGGTGCTATTGTACACTCGCAGCATGGGAACCAAGCCATTGGATTCACCATTGGTTCCGGCGATAAAAGTGCCCTTGCTACGAATACAATGCACATTAAGACCAACGCCTCCAGCGTTCTTTGAGATCAAGGCACATTGCTTGAGTGTATCGTAGATACCCTCGATACTGTCGTCCTTCATCGTGAGAAGGAAACAGCTCGACATCTGAGGAACTGGTGTGCCCGAATTGAAGAGAGTCGGAGAGGCCTGAGTGAACCACTTTTGAGACATTAGGTGATACGTCTCAAAGGCAGCTTCGAGATCATATCCGTGGATGCCCAAGGACACGCGCATAAACATATGCTGCGGTCTCTCCCAAGTCTTGCCATCTCTCTTTAGAAGATAAGACTTCTCGAGAGTCTGCAAAACAATACAATAGCACAGAGTAAGTACGAATCATTTCAAACTTCAAATCATAAATAAGCACTATTTCACCTTCAATCCGAAGTAGTTGAATTCGAAATCCCTATTATTATCAACTTCTGAGTCAATTCGATCACGATTTTTCCAAACAATGTTGATCAACTCCTCGGAAATCATTGGAGTGTGGGTTTTGGTTTTCGGGTTCACGTAATTGTAGAGATCACTCATGACAACAGAGAATTTGGCAGGAGTTTCCTTGTGCAAGTTGGAGACATGAACTCTAGCTGCCAGGGTTCCATGATCATAGTGTTTGACAGTTAAACTAGCACACACTTCAGCGGCAAGGGAGTCCAATTGCGATGTGGGAACGCCAGGATACAAACCCTCAACCACCTTATCAGTGATCTTTGGCTGAAATAAGTACAAACTACCATCAGGCCTTTCCACAATTACACACTATTAGCAGCCAGCAGTAGTTACTTACAATATCGATGAAAGTCTTGTTCAATCCGAAGCAAAGGCGTTCCAAACGAACCGAAATCTTTTCGCAGCAGACTTTCTGATGCCTACCATCTGGATCAAACATATATGTTTTCTCATCGTACTTACCTCTTTTAACCACATAGAGATTCTCATCTTGTTCGGCAGCCTCGCGAGTATAGACAAAATCGGATGGCTTTTCGCTGGACATAGTAATTGGAATATGCGCGTTATGACCTAGAATTCGTTCAAATTAGTATTATCTAGTAAAACGAATAAATGCTTTTTACTCACTTGCGTAAAATATTAGACGTTAATGATAAAGTGTTTAATAATTAAGTGTTAGGCAAAATTTAAAAAGTAAGTTATAGATGTCGATTCATTGTATCATATGAATTTTATTTTGCTCACTGTCTCTTTGATTGTCACTGGTCTGATTTGGGTAACCAGAAAACAGCAGAATGTTTCTACTTGTTATGGAAACCTTATATAGCCGATTCTCGGAATAAATTTCTTGCTGTCTGTAATAGAACTTTATGTTTTTAATAGTGTATGTTGATATAATCTTGGAGTCAATTAAATGGTCATCGCCCTATTTTTATGAGTTCGAAAGTGGGAACTATATGCGATGTGATGCTGCTACAGAAACGTTTAGCAGATCAGAATGGAGGGAATCAGAACAACTGTGTCTCTATGTTCGCTTCGGATTAGCCTCGCGTTTATTAATACCGTCATCTGAAATCAATTGCTTTTTTTTTCTTCCTGAAGGGCACGTATGATTATCGACACTGAAATCTTCTCCAACATTAGATCATAACCAAAGTGATAAAAGTGTTTTTTCTTCAAGATACTCTTTTATCTTGCTAGTTGATGACATAAAATTAATGAATAAAAATATGAACTGCGAAGGTTATGAATTAAGATCTTGTCACTGTTTTAATTCCAGCTATAAATATTTCTTCCCTAGTATAAGCCGTTTGATTTGGTTCACTTTCCCTTGATTATTAAAGTTTTTTTCAATTTGGTGTTTGTTAATTATTTTTAAAATCTCCCCCCCCCTCACAAAAAATTGACAATTTAAATTAATGAAAATATTTATGCCGTTTTAGATGGAAATCGTTGTTATAACATTGAGAGTTTGCATTAAGAATATATATCAATTAATATTTACCATAATTCTATAATTTATCCACCTCATTTTCATCTATGTCACCAGACAGAATACAATTGAACATTTATTACATATTTTGTCAACTAACCTTTTCGTCGGAGTGAAGTCAAACACCGGTTTATAGACTTTTTGCCGTATGAATATACGTTGCCCATGGGGCACCACGTTAAGGTAAGTCTTTGGCACAACCTAGTGAAACTAATATTTGATGACAGCTAAGTATGCTATTATACCAAAGCTGTATTCTCCATGCAAATGTGATGTGTATCAACCATATAATACCTTTTTTGGATATGTACAGCTTAATAACTGCTCACATAAATTACCTTTCAGTCAATGGCATCTACATAATGCGATAGAATGCCTTCAAACAAGTCTTGGCAACTGACCACAACATAATGCATATTATCTGTTGAATATTCTTCATTTTTTACAGATAAAACTGTACAAAACTCAAGTATGGAAATTTGAACACTACTTTTTGTAGAATTTATGCATGAAAAGTAATATTTCAATGCAAGAGATTGTAGTTCAAAGATAATGGACACCTCGGTTTACATTCCTAATTATGACTTAATTTACATTTTCAAAGTTTACTCACTTTAAAAGAAGGACTACCAAAGTAGATATTATATTAAGATGGGGCGAATAACAGCAACTATGGGGCTGAGCCAATTCGACAATGCATTGATCTATATATTGGTATTCCCTAATTCTGCAATTAGTAAAGTGAGCAAAAACTAAGTATTAGGTAATAAAGTTAACTAAATGGTTTTGAATTTCAATAAAAATTATAACATGGTTAAAGTCTTACGACAAATTTTTTAAGTGCCTCATTAACTGGGTAGTTTGATAAAGCGCGAAGTTAGACAGGCAGTTCTTGTTTCCTAAAGACATGCAAAGATCGATTCTGAGCTTCTTTTCAAAAGCGTCCGAAAAGCAAAAAGAGGAAAGCGGGAAAGCAAATGAGGATTGTGGTACTTGCTCTAGTTCCCTTATTGAAGACCATGCACCGAAGAGGCCAATTACTGTAATTTTGTTACCATTGCTTTTGTTATTATATGTTTTTTTCTTCCATTCTATTAGTATATTTCATTTAAATCTTTAGAATGGTAGTGAGAGTGATGAATGTTCTCCGATTAAAAGAACTGTTTCGAAGAAAAGACGTGTTATTGTCGAATCTAGCGATGAGGAGGAATTTGAAAATTTACCTGTCATTTCAAAATCTTCCCGTTATGATAAGTCGATCGCAGATCTCTATTCATGTACAAATAAAAGTTTCGGAAAAGACGTTACCAACTCTCCCAAAGCTGTTTGCTCTCCAACTCGAAGCAAGTCCCTAATGTCGAAGTCACTAAATAAGAGCTTGCTCGATGCGTCCGCCCCCGATTCCCTAAACAATTCAATGGCGGAATCCAGTTTCACAATGGATCCTTTGGAAGAAAATCGAGATCAATCTTGGCCTCACTTAACGTATCCATTTCTGCAACCGGATCGTATCAAAGATGCTTCTGGTCGAAGACCAAATCATTCCGAATACGATCCAAGAACTCTCTTTGTTCCGGAGGATTTCCTTCGTAAGCAATCACCGGGTCTTCGACAATGGTGGATTCTCAAGTCACAGAATTACGATACTCTTCTCTTCTTCAAGATGGGAAAGTTTTACGAACTCTATCATATGGATGCTGTTGCTGCAGTGGAGGAATTGAAGTTGTCCTACATGAAGGGAGAATTGGCTCATGCGGGGTTTCCGGAAATCGCTTTCCAGCGGATGGCTAATCGGCTCCTTCAAAAGGTTAGTTAGTCTTTATGCAACTCTATATTTACTGTTCTCGTATAATTGTGAAATGTTTGTGCATTAGAATTACAACAGATGTACAATTTTCGATGAATGATATAAATCTGGCGGAAATTGAATTATTACTAAGACTAATGCCTGACTATGGGTTCTATTATTCTCGAATTACACTTCTACTTGGAATCTATCCGTGTGTTGGACTCAAAACCTTATCAGATGTACTCAAAATATGATATCTATTCAAGATTTTCAGACTTTTGACTGACGTGTCGTTCGTGTCGAATATCAGTATAATGAGATTATCTTCCTGTAGAGTTGATTTACAGTGGCAATAGCGTCAAAACTTTTATCATAGAACATACTTTTTTAAAAATCTGTCTGTCCATCTCTCGTTCCAGTTGGTCTTACTCAACTTTTGGTTATGATTTTCAAAATGAACTGGACCTATTTTCCTCTGCTTTTAATATCACTTATTACTTCTCTAGCATTATATATGTGTAATCAATAAGTTCAAGGAGTCTTGTTCTATCATTTTTCGTTTATTTGTGAAGGTTATCCAATTCTATATTTGTGTGTTTTTCCTATTTCTAGGGTTACAAGGTTGCTAGAATCGAGCAAACCGAGACCCCCGAAGGAATGGCCAAGCGAACATGTGGTCGAACTGGTGCTGACAAGGTTGTTCGACGCGAAATCTGTCAGATTATTACTCCTGGGACCTGGTTTGCTCCTCTTCGAAATGGCATCTCTCCCGAGAGTAATGTTCTCGACACTTCGGTATCTGTTGCTTCATCCTCTCAAGGTGCCAGTCAATCCGAGATTGAGACTGATCTGAGTTATAATCGTCATCTCATGGTCATTCTTGAAGCTTCCGGGAAGGAGAAATCAGAGACTCACTTTGGTGTTGCTCTTCTAAAAGCCACAACTGGAGAGATTTTGGTGAGTCGCATTTCCCATTTAAAGCTGTTCATACTTTGCGACTCATTCTTTTCTGTTTTTCCAATGTCGATCGTCTAAATGGGCTTATCGGCTCGCAAGCAAATGTGCACCACTACTCTCGTTCTTCATTGACTAGACCATCCTTTTTGAATTATCATTCAGCAACACTTAAAGTAGTGTGGGGGGGGGGGGGGGGTTATGGTTGATATGTGGCCTATGTTGACAAAGGGTTTTGACTTTATTTCTGCTGCTTTAATGATTAATAGAAAAGAGGAAATATTTTCGGTTGGAAACTCGTAGTGGACAGAAGGGTAGTGTTACTAAAATGACTAGAGCTTGGGGTGCATTAGTGTTTTTAACGACCATGAACATTTGACCCTTATGTCCTTTAATATGTTCCTATCATTTGTTAAAACCCTTTCAGTCTACCTGTTTTTGTTAGCCTGCTTTTCACTCTCATAGCCGTTTGATATTCTCTTCACGTAAATAAACTTTTGGGTCCCATTTTTGTGTGTCCAGTGGATGAAATGACTAGCAATTGTTTAAAGTCAGGATCAATAGAACTTTTCCGATATTCGAAGCCAATTTTCTGCCATTATGAATTTATATGTTATATATTCTAACCTTCCAGATTGGCCAATTCTCAGATGACGTTCATTATTCGCGTCTATGTACAACTATTGCCCATTTCCCTCCCTCACAGGTACGATATTCTTATGTATTTGGTAGCCTAAGCCCCCAATCCAATCTTTTATCTTTTTTGTTATGTAGATTCTATTTGAACGAGGTAACCTGAGTAATAAGTTGCGACGTATGCTGAAAGCACGTCTTCCCAGTGTTCCATTTGAAGGTCTTGCCAGTGGGAGGCAATTCTTCACAGCTCGTGAAACAATCTGCACCCTGGAATCGGGCAGTTACTTCAGTCTCACAGCCAATGCCGGCCACAAAGGTCCCCAAGAATCTACCATGGCTCACCACTCCTCTAAAGCCGATTGTTGGCCATCTGATCTTTTGAAAATGCTAGACCCTGGTTGTTCTTATTTCTTTCATTCCATTTTCTTGTTATAGTCGTATATTGAATGACCATTTATTTGCCTTAGCTGATACGCTGGGTCGAAGCCCACTTCCTGAGTACGAGTTAGCTATTAGATGTCTGGGAGCAGTAATATTCTACTTGCGGTATTGTCTCACGGATACGGAAATACTTTCCCTGGGGCTTATTCATGAATATCGTCCAATTGATGTAATTTCTGAAAATTCAGTAATTGGTCATTCAGAAGAGCCATTCTATGAAAGACAAGTAAATATGGTAAGTTGTCTTATTGTTTTCTCTCGTCATATTCCTCATGATGCATAAACGTTAGAAACAGTTCAGACGTCGTCTTGAAGGGTCAGTCCTTTATCAAAAGATTTAGCGGTATATTATTCAGTCTCCTCGTTTTCTTAAAAACAATTCATATTCATGAACTGTTCACAATGCCTACATAATTGGCTGGCTTTTAGAGAGGCTAATTCAACAAATAAAATTTGCTGCTGGCTAGGAAAGCATGTCTAAGCACTCACTGTTAAATTGCACTTAGGGCTTTACGTTTATTAACTAGTAGTTGAGTTGGGAGGTTTCGGATTTCTTTCTGGGTACCTCTCCTGCTAACCTCTATCAGTTATTTATGACCCCCAAATAGTACTTACCTCCATATTGTCACAGTAATGTTGAACAGCTGATGGAATATTTAATGACCGATAATTTTGTTACTTTTTGCTCTGTTTTCGTTTTAGGTTTTGGATAGCGTGACACTGGAGAATTTAGAGATCCTTGCCAGTAACTTCAACGGGACTTTGGAAGGAACTCTTCTAGAAAGACTGGACTCGTGTTGCACACCTTTCGGTGAGTTTAATGATTATTTTTCTTCCACCAAATTTTGTTACCCTCTTGGAAGTGTTTTCCCATACTATTCATATTGAGTATAGAAAAGACTCCAAAGCCTTCATTCAGCCTTCCATTCGTTTACCCATATTGACCAATGAATCCTGACCCTAAAGCTTGTGATAAGCAATATTACTAGTTATATAACTTTTTTATTCGACAGGACGGCGTCTTTTGAGGTACTGGGTAGTTAACCCACCTTGTCATCCCTTAGTGATAAACGATCGTCAGGATGCGATTCAAGAGCTCATGGACCTCGCCTCTCAGCTTCAATCTATTCGAGAATCTCTTCGACGTTTGCCTGATTTAGAGCGTCTTCTCACGAAGTAATTTCTAATTTACTCCAAATTTTTATTTTACTTGAAAGGGTTCACATAATGGGCTGGAATGCCACGAGCCCGGACCATCCTGAATCGCGGGCTATTGTAGTCGATGAGAGCATCTATTCAAAGAGAAAGATTATTGATTTTCTCCTCACTCTGGGAGGATTTAAGTCCGCTATTAGGATCGTAAAGGACTTTACAAAGTTTGGAATTAAGTGAGTACCTTTCTAGTCCATGTACATTGATTTATATTATTTTCCTTCGCAGATCTAGACTTCTTCACTCATTGACTTCACTGGAGGAGGATGGAGGGAATTTTCCAGACTACAGCCAACAATTAGCCCTGTTTGACGTAAGTTTTAAGTTCCTCCGCGTTCACAAAAAGTTCATTCTGGTTTTGAATGACTAGGCTGATTCATGGATGTCTGCTCCTTCCAAGTCACATATTTGTTTACTTTTCTTCAAATGGGTTCATCGATCAAATTTGGGCTAAATAGTGAACTAATGCCCATTACTCTTGGGCAGCGGATGATTTTAAATGAATAAGATGATTTAGATGCTGGTTTAAATCCTTGGTCTTTTTTATGCTTGTGAAATGTGTTTGCTCGGTAATGGGAATAATTTTGACAAAGGAAGTTATACGTTTAAAAGAGAGGAATGGTCATCAAATCAAAATGGGAATCTAATATACATTCAATGGCCTACTTTGAGAATAACTATTAAATTAATCACTCACCTGCGTGTCTCAGCTACAGCCTTGGCCAATTATTAGGGGTTCCAATGAGAAATCTTTCATTTTAATGACACGATACTTGAAGGAAAAATTCTGTAGGTTTCGGTTTTTTAGTAGGCATTTAGTTGTGCTTCTTAAAAAATTACTTTTTCAAAGGAAGAGTATCATACATATATAAATTTTTTTCAGGAAGCATTCGACCATGAAAAAGCCAAACGGGATGGAGTTATTGTTGTCGAACCGGGTTTCGATCTTGAGTTCGACCAGGCCTGCGAGGAACTGAAGGTGATACTTTTTTTTATTAAAGTCGAATATGCACTAGCATACGTCCTTGGTTATTAATTAGTTTTTCTGTTTTTTTAGAAATCTCAACAAGATATGGAAGACTTTTTGGAGGAGCAGAGTCATATTATTGGTTGCCAGGTGAGAGTAATAATCTTTTGAAGTTATCTAAAGTGCTTAAAAAATTGGTGTTGTGCATCAACACTTTACTTATCATTGTACAGCTTTTGAAGGCGGCAAAATAGTCTAGAAAGGAAAGGTATTCTTATTGCTTAACAATAAGTTTGCTCATGTACAATAATGTCATGAATATCCTTTTGATTGGATATTTCTATTGTTTCTTATTTTGAAGAAGGCATTATTAATATAAACATCCATTTCCGTCTTATTCTTCTCAATTATTGGCATCTTAGAAGTAAAAAAAGGTTCCATTCGTAATTGATGATAAATATCAATGGGAGTAGTTCGAGTTTTGCTTTTTGTCCTATTATATCAAATAATAGACAAGCGATGTGTATGTCATTGAATGATTTATGAGTATTGTACAGTAAATGAAATAGACCTCGCATATTTGGCTACTCTATGGTATTCGATTGTTTCTTCTGCTTTTCCCCATCAGTTGAGCTACATGGGAACAGGAAAGAACCGATTTCAAATAGAGGTTCCAGAGTCCTACATGTGTCGTGTGCCCGACGCCTGGGAGGCGACGGGTCAGCGCAAAGGCTTTCGTCGCTTCCGTCCTCCAGACATCAATAAACTAATTGCCCAACTTGTTGCTGCGGAGGATTCCAAACAGGAGAGCACTCGGGGTATCATGCGTCGTCTTTTTGCTTCATTCTCTTCAAGGTAAACCATTGCTCTCATCATAAGACTACGCCTTAACTTTTGTTTGGTAACACTTGATATCCTGTGTTTTGTTCTGAGCGCGCATTTTCTGATACGATTCGTCACCTCACTTGTACTTTATAACTTCACTATTTGCCGAGAGCGTGTCACATATCTAGACATTTCAATAGTTGTAGTTTGAAGTGCTTCCGATTCTGTTGCCTATGTGATAGCTTCCAAAGCACAGAATGCAAGCAGTTCGGTGCAATACGTCGTTCGAATGCTGATCATTGATTGGCTGGGTGGACTTCACATATAGCCACATTTGTTCACTATACAAACAGTGGTATAACCCCACTTCCCGAATGTTCTCTCGTGTACGAGATTCATTTGGCCAGGCTTGGCTTCGTTATACACTCCACTGAATAATGCATCCACTAGTTTAAATAAACCATTTGGGGACGCCCAGTAGTCCTCCACTTTGAACTCGAGGTCATGGGATTAATCAGCAATATGAGGTCGAGATAAATAGGTCTCAGAGATTTATGATGACTAAGTTAGATATTTTGCTACATAGGGGTACAGCCTCACATCAAACCAATAGTCACATCGAACTCCCAATTAGATTTCTCAACTGGTCCGCTCTGTTTGCAGTTGGGTGTTTCAGTTTGGTCTCTCAAAGTTTGGCTGATTTCGAGTGAAGTACTAATTGATGACAAGTGAATGAAGAACGTTGTTTAAGAATTTCCATAATTACTGGAGTTCTAGACAAGTTGACAAGTGCTTTTAGATCATTTTAATAAATCTTAAAGGTTCAATCCTGATATCTGTCTAATCTTTCGTCCAAAAAGATTTCATTCATTGATTGAAATAGTCCTTTATTATGATTACCCACAGCGGTTCAATAAAATTTCAATATTTTTCATTGTGATGACAGCTGTAAGTGCTAAATCGAAATTTCAATAAATGGTAAAAAAGGAGTCAGTAAAATGCCGAGGACAACATCAGACTATCAAATAGTCTTCCTCACTTCGATGTTTAGATTCTGATTGTGCAATAGTTAAAAAATGGATAGCCTACGTTCCGAAGTTAAAATCTCAGGTCGCCTTCTGGATTGAAGGAAACGTTTTTCCACTATGTTCAATGCCTCGTAACCGGGCTAGCCTTGTCCCTTCAGCTCGAAATTGCGTTTAGTTACAATTTCTTTTTATCCTATTTACTTGTAAAACATTTTTTCCCATTTAAGTTTAATTTCACTGAAGTTAATAGAAGAAATTTTGATTATTACAAAGAAAAATTTTAATCAAATTGTCTTGATATGTGTTAGAAATCTCATTGACACCAGATATTTTGGGGCAACAACGGTATCTTTTACACAGATAACTACAGCTGAAGATTCAATTTTTTGGGCCTCTTGAATTCCACGTATATATTTCTTTTTCTACCAACGTAAAGCTACGCCAAGTGGCAATCTGCAATTAAGTGCATAGCAGAGTTGGACTGCCTTATGGCCCTCGCCAATTACAGTGTCTCGGCTGCTGCTATCGTTTGTCGTCCAAAATTTTATACTCTCGATCCTGGAACCAAGGTATGTTTCTTTAAAAGGGAGTCCATTGTGGTATAATTTGGATAATCTGCAGATTTATTTGTTTGATCCTTGCAGCCATTTCTCGAGATTGATTGTGGCTATCATCCTTGTTTGACGAGGAGCTATTCAGGTGGCGAAATCACACCAAATAATGTACAATTGGGTTTGATTCCGGGCCAAGAGGAGAAAACCACCACAGGCTTCAAACCTGGTGCTACCACCCTTTTAATTACTGGACCCAATATGGGAGGAAAGTCAACACTTATGCGGCAGACTGCTCTCTTGGCTATTCTCGCGCACCTGGTAAACTCGGCTTGTGATCTACTAAGATAACTTTGCCTTAGTCATGGTGAAATCCCAAACATTACACATTTTTCAACATGTCAACGCTTAAATGAAATCAATGTTAGATTCGGATATAAGTTATTCTGATCATCCATAATTGGTCATTTTCATGAACATCTATTTTTTCCCTATCATGTTTACTCAATTTGCTTCAGTCACTACCATTTATTACATTACCTTCAATTGTGATTTAGGTATCTTAGAAGACCAATTCCTCTCTTACTTGCCTTTGCCTATTCTATCTTCCCTTTTTTCACACTTTGGCATGGAGATCCCTATTTCGGTGATCCTGGGGGGGGGGGGTTTGAACAGTGTAGCTAAAAGAAGCGAACAATAAGTGACGTTTACAGCCATAGGTTGTTAAAAGCCCAAATAAGTTCTTGTAGCTAAGCACAGCGATATTCGTCAAGAGGTTGGATTAAATCATTCTGTTACTCCACCAATTTTATTATCAGGTTTGATCGGAATTATTCATATTCAAATACCAAACATTTTTTGCTTTCAAAAGAAATGCACACTGAATCTAGTCTAGGGTGGTAAATATTTTCAAGCCTGCTTAACTCAGTTTTTCATTTTCCTTAATAGGGTTGTCAAATCCCAGCCACAAGCTGTAGACTCACTCCACTAGATCGTATATTCACTCGTATCGGAGCCTCAGATCGCTTGATTGCAGGCCAGAGTACCTTCTATGTGGAACTGTCGGAGACAGCGGTGATACTGCGTCATGCAAGTGCAAACAGTCTGGTGCTAATGGATGAACTTGGTCGGGGTACCTCGACACGTGATGGTTCAGCTCTGGCTTTGGCAGTTCTTAAAAATCTTACTAGTTCAACTCGTGTTCGTTCTTCGGGCCCTCTGACTCTCTTCTCTACGCATTACCATGGACTTGTTGAGAAATTGCAGAAGTCGGAGACAGCCGCATTTGTTGAAGCCCTGGATGTTGGACACATGGTGAGAAGGAATATTCAGCTGATTTTGACATTCAAATATTATTTATATCACTATGGTAATGTATACAAAAGGTATCGAGTAAATGTGGGAATAATCCAACCCCCATTATTAGCACGCTCATGGCAGCTCAAAAGGGCAGTTTTAATTATGAAAAGCGCGTAGTTAAGGGGAGCAGCTAATGGATGCATTTTTAATTGGAGTAGACATTACAAGGCTCTCGTCAGGGTCACCAATTTGTAGCGGATTGCTACGCTAGTAAAGTCTGCTGACTCAGAAATCTCTGTGGCAGATTCTCCAACATCTAGCTACACTCCCAGAACCAGCTAAGCTATAGCCCAGCTATAAAGGAAACGGACGTGTAGCACGGAGCACGTTTATTCAGTGAGTATATTGCGGATCAAGCGTACACGCAGGGAGCTACTCATGATCAGGATTGGGGATTAGGTTAAAGAGAGGTTAATGTTTGGTCACTGTTTGTACGGTAACACCTCCCAATCCTGGCGTGCTGGCATGCGATGACGTGTCCTACAAGTTCAAATATTCAAATTTATTGATTTGCCCCTCCCCCTCATCATATAAA